CAGCACAACCGAAAACCAAATCGTCACCTACTGGGTCATACCGAGTTTCGGAAACCGGCACCCCCACAGTCGCAACTGTTGACACACCACCAGCAAAGTAGGGCTTCATCATATTAATATGACACACACGGCACTTTTTCCTTCGCTCTGGGGTGTCGATGACATAATCCGTGTCACTCAATTTCGCCTGCACTGTATACGGACCACTGAACTTGGCCTGGAGGGAAGATCCAGGGACCGGTAAAAGTGTTAAAACTTTATCACCAACCTCAAATTTTCGCTGCACAGCCTTCACGTCTAACTTCCTCTTCATCCTACCTTGTGTTGCACTGAGAGCATCACGTGCAATTGCGCACGCTTTATGCAAACGCTCTCTGAAAGAGCTCACATAGTCTAACACATTTTCCTTAGGAGCAACAGTGTCGGACAGGAAGTTCTCCTTAAGCAATCGCAAGGGACCACGCACTGTGTGACCGAACACCAGCTCAGCAGGGCTAAATCCTAACGACTCCTGCACACTTTCTCTCACTGCTAAAAGAAGCAGCGGCAACCCCTCATCCCACTCCTTTTGAGACTCAAGGCAAAACTTCCGCATCATCGATTTCAATGTCTGATGAAACCGCTCGAGCGCACCTTGCGACTCTGGATGATAGGCACTAGATTTCCGATGTTTAATGCCAAGTGACTGCACAACTTGAGCAAAAATCTTAGACATGAAATTAGAGCCTTGGTCAGTTTGAACAGCTTTTGGTAACCCAAAGATAGAGAAGAAGTTCACCAATGCTTTAACAACTGGTTTCACCTTAAGGGTGCGCAATGGAATTGCCTCGGGAAAACGGGTAGCAACACACATCAGAGTCAAGAGGTACTGGTGACCCGATTTTGTTTTAGGGAGTGGACCAACGCAGTCGATGAGGATGTGTTCAAAAGGTTCCCCTAAAACTGGAATAGGGTGTAAGGGAGCGGGTGGAATGACTTGGTTAGGCTTACCACTAATCTGACAGGTGTGACAAGACCGACAATACTTAGCAACGTCATTCTTCAATCCTGGCCAAAAGAAATGACGCAGAATGCGGTGATAGGTTTTCCTAATACCTAAATGTCCAGAAAAACTGTCATGGGCAAGACTAAGAACTTTGGGTCGGTACTGTTGGGGCACCAGAACCTGTTTAAACACATTCCAACCCAAGTCACCAGCTGTAGGCGGATACCAAGTACGCATCAACACGTCATCCTTGACACTATAAACGCGAGGGTACTGGTCGCTCGAGTTGGCAGCGGAAAAACAACTCACAAGAGTCGGGTCACTCTGCTGTGCCAAAACTAAATCCTTTTTGTTGATTTCCAAAGACAGTTGAGGTGTCACTGATGGGCTAACAAACAGCATCGCCTCAGAGTCGCCCGTCAGTGGAACACGGGTTTCAGATTCGGACTCCGGCCCACCACCAGCACAGAGAAAAGAATCAGATAAATCCACGTCACCGTACTTGCGTCTATGCGCACGAGTTACCGCGCAAGCAGGAAAAACAGAGGAGGAACGCTCCTCAGCGACAGGGTTAGATAATGAAATATCAGGCACCGGTATCTCAACCACTCTCGGAGTAGAAAACACTTTCCCGTTAGCCAAATCATTCCCCAGAATCATCGCAACTCCGGGCACTGGCAACTGGTCGCGCACGCCAACCGGTACCGAACCCGAAACGAGCGG